CTAGCTATAAGATCCTTGATAGAAAATTAAATTTCCCACTAAGTACAAACCAAATACAGCTCTTAGAAAAGTATTGTCAGCAGCCAACAGAATACAATACACCAAATACTCAGAAAAATGTAATTCAAAAAAAAAGTAAAGTTAAGCTATGAACAAAACAAGTTGAGGCTATGCTTAAAGCTCCATATTTCCATTTTTTGTAGTTCGAATCAAGTCTCACATTAGGTAGGATTCAGAAACATGTACCTGAATACATCAAAATATATCAGAAATACAGCCCGAGATTAGGAGGAAGCAGCAGTAGCAGAAAACAGCAATGTAACAGTGCAGAAATAGCAACTCAAACCAAGCTTTTTAAAACCCCAAACTCAAGCCATTTTTCAATCAGCGAGACCAAACAAAACCCAGCTAATTGATTTGGAACTTTCAGAAATTCTAATGAACCAAAAGGAAGCAAAAACCAGAAACCAGAAACCAAGTTTTTCAGCAAAATTTCAGTGTTTTAGAGCTTGAAAGAGGTCCAGCCGTTTTCTAGCTTTTTTCAATGTTTTTTCAGTCTCTGAATTTCTAAAATTTGCCTTGAAAATGAAGCTACAATACCTTTATAGGCAAGTCTTAGGGCAGCAGAAAATAGTTTAATTTTGCTTTTCAATCCTTTTGGAATTTTCGTTTTTGCTAATGTACCCTTAGTTTAAAATCAGTTTTTCAGAGTTAGTCCCCATCACACCTTCTAGGCAGCTTCCCAATTCAGTTATAAAAGATTCTCTATCCTAAATTTCCTAATCTAACCCTTAGAAATCCTGTTTTTACTTTAGTGAACCAAACGGGTCAAATGGAGCCAAAGGTCAGCCGAACATGGGCTCAATTTTGTCCCATGAACTTAAACCAATCTCCAGAAGTGGGGTCTAAAATGGCCTCAAATCCCAAACAACAAGAATGATCCAAACCAGATCAGTAATTTATGCCAAGTAGAAGAAAACACTTAAACAATTTCCAAAACTAAAACCTAAACTAAGTGACTGATTAATAACACAAATAGGTATGAAATTAACTAAGTTATTAAATCAAAACAACCTAATTAAATTAAACTATGTGACTAGAACAAAAGGCAAAATCAGAGGTTAAAGCATGGCATTAATAAAACTAAAATAAACCACTGAAAATCAGAGAACAAACTTTTAAGATTTGAAAAAGAAAATTGAACACAAAATTAATCTAAAGGGAACCTGGGTTCAGGACCTTGCTCAAATACCATTCAAAGTAAAAGAAACTAACTAAAGAAAGGGAGAGGAAAAGAAGAGGAATAAGACGGTGAAACAACAAGAACGGACAAAGAGATGAAGAAAAACTCACCGATTAAACTCGAAATAAACTGGAGACATTCTGATTTAACCCAAAATAATGTCAATCGCTTGTTCTTTGTCAAGAACAAACGAACATCATTGTTCTGTGATAAACCAAGCCTTGAACACTCAGGAAATTCGGAGAAATAGCCTTGCATGCGCAGATTTAATTTTGGCTTTTAGGGCCTGAACTCATATTTAAGATTCGATGAAGATTAAGGTGATTCGAGAGAAACCAGTTAAAGATTGGGAGAGAGGGAGCCATGGGGATTTCATGGTGTTGATTTGGGACGGGTTAGAGGCGGCACCGCCGGCTTGAGGTGGTGGAGAATTGAGGCGGCGCTAGGGTTTAGGCTAATCTCTGAAGATGGGAGATGAGGAGTGAGGATGTAACCGGGGGGTCAGGCGGTTCGGACAGTTATATATTGTCACACACCCTAGTTCTCGACCGTTCGATTGAGAGAGATCAAAGGCTGGGATTGGGGATCAAAATACGGGGTCGTTTGGTCCTTGGTGGGGTTTGGATCGGGTATCACGTGGGTTTTGGGCCAATTTTGACCGGGTAAAGGGGGTTTGAACACTTGGGCTAGGGAATTGAATTAAAAGAGCCCAAAATCCTATTCTTTGTTTCCTTTTTCTTTTCTTTTTCAATTTCTAATTTTTTTTCTTTTCAAAAATAAAAATAAAATCTAAATTAATTCTTAAAACTAAATTAACCTATCAAAAATATTAATTACTCAAGCATAGTATTTACAAAAATTAATTAACTCCTAATTTAAAAGAAAAGGCTATAAAATTCGAAATTAAAGGGTGAAAATGCAACATGAACTATTTTTTGTGATTTTTTCATTTTTGTAAAACAAACTATTTATTAATTAATATAAAAATGTAAAATTAAATCCTAAATACAAATGCAATGTATTTTTTTATGAATTAAAAAGATTAAACATGAACACAAAAATGCAAACAATCAGAAAAATTCTATAATAATTCCTAAAATAACAAATAATTAAAAGGAAAGATCTAATTTTTTGGAATTATGTAGAAGTAATTCATGCGAGGCAAAAATCATGTGCTCACACTCATTATTAACCGCAAAAGGCCATCTTTGAGGCCTCCATTATCGTTGTTTCTTCATCAACAGCTCACTACCAACCACCCTAAATAGGCCTCGAAGCCTTTGTTCCAGCTAGCTCAAGGCTCGGTTCTGTGATAGTTTTGGTTCGCATTTCTTATTTTCTTTACTTACTCTTAGCACCTATTGTCTAACAACTAGTACAAAAATAAATCACGTATTTTTAGAACCATAAAATCAAATATAATTGTAATTACTATTTTCAAGGTAAACAGTTTATACAAAGGATACAACCTGTATCAACTGTACTCATTTGCGCAGCGAATACAATCAAGGTGAAATACAGAAATACAGAAAAATAAAATGCTCTTGCGAAGAGTCGAATTCAAGACCTCCACTAATTAAGTAGGCGCTCTTGTTTTAGTTCAAAAAAATTAATCTCTTATTTCATGGATCTGCTATAAAATTCAAATATAGTTATAACTGGTCAATTTGCTAAAAGTACAGCTACCGTGTATATGTAAATACAATGTATATGTTTGGTAAATACAGTGTATATGTTTGATGTGTTTTTCTCAAATTAATATCTTTATTTTAATGTATTCATTTTAAAGGTAAATTTGGTAAATACAGTGTATATGTTTGATGTGTTTTTACCCAAATTAATACCTTCATTTAAATGTATTACTTGCACCCAATTATGCTAAATATCTTGTTTTACTTCTTTATTTGCCTCTGTTACTATTGTGTTCTCTATTTCTTCAACTTGTTTGGTGTTGTCAATCTTGAGTTGAGAACATTATTGCCATTGTGTTTGTCATTTCAAGCAATGAAAAAATGGCATCTGCACGTACGTGCACTCCCTTTAGGCCTTTAGGATATTCATCAAAAAAGGAAATGAATGGGAAAGCAGTGAACGTTATCATTGCGAGTCTTTTTTTCTTTAGTTTTTTAAAATTCTTCTTTTATGCGAATTGTAAAGTTATCAATTATTGCATAAGAAACTTGTAATAAGTAAAAGTTCCACGGAAGAAGAAGGAAGTATTCCATTGAAGAATCATTACAACCTTTTGTTTGTATGCACTCTCCACCATGCTAAAAGAAAGGCTTTTTTGATCGAATTTGCATTCTTTTTTATGCACCCAAAAAACATATTCTTCGGACCCCTTCTACCACTTAACCATCTGAAATAACTTATATAGAGGCAGAGACAAATCTAAGATATAAATTAATGGGTTTAAATTTGCACTGAACTCGTTATATGTTAAAATTATGAGTTCAAATTTAATATTTATTAAAATTTTAATAGGTTTTAACATATATATTTATATTCCGTATAAAAAATTATGAGTTCAGATAAACCTATAAATTCTAGGCTATATCCGCTACTACTTACACACGTGTGTGCTCATACGCATTTTGGCGTTTAGCTAGTATGAACGAGCAAATGTTAGATAGAATTTAAGTTACATGTACTGATAATGCAAAAAAGGAAAGTTACACAATTAGGTAAAGACAAATTAATACATGATAGGCTAGTTAATCTTTTATTATAGGTTAAATTATATTGAAAGTGTAAATTATTTCTTACGTTAGTGCATATAATTGAAGTTCATGTTAATTTATGCATTGTTTTGGTCTCGTGATATGTTGAAAAATGTTTTTTAACACCTCACGTTGAGATATTTATAGTTAGTTGGTTTATTTCTTGTCTAATAAAAGTGGCCTAGCTAGTTATGTTCCTAGTGTATAGGGGGTAATCAAATGGTTGTTAGATGACTTCAAAGAATACGATCTCCCACCCAAAGAATAATAATATAAATTTGGAAGTGGAGATTCGTGGAACACTACCATCGACGTATATTCGCTTGGTTATTTTTCATACTTTGTCCTCACATTAATATTTCAACAAAAACAGTAGAGTTCAACTTCAAAAAGAGAGCCAGATAGAATTTTTAAATTAAAAAAAATTTAAAGAAGAAAAAAGAATAAGAAAAAGGGAAGTAATTTTATGCTTTTCATAAGTGTACTGCCTTTGCTAAAATGGAGACAAAGACGATACTCATCAATCAATCATGCCATTGCCATTTTCCTTTTTAATGGAATATATATATGAGCTAAATAGGTCCCTCCATGAACCAAAATAATTTTTATATTTTAAAGTTTGGAATCAGAAACCCCACTTTCATGCACAAAAGAAAGTCCCTTTGAATCAAGACCTTCCACCCTTACCTACATTTTTTCCTTTTGATTATAACCTCTTTTATTGGACAACTCTCATGAAAAAAGAAGAAGAAAACAACAAATTTTGTAAAGGACAGACAACAACAATAACAATATTTTTACATGTGGAATTTTGGGAAGGTAATATATACGTTGACCTTATTTTTACATTGTGGAGATAAAGAGGCTGTTTCCGACAGAAAACTTCGTACAAGAATGACTCTTATTTTCATGTTGTGGGTCAATGGGGAATACGCCATACAAATATTTATGCGTTACCATAAAGCTATTGTATTTCATAAATTCTCAAATACACATAACAGGCCAATACTATAAAGCAAAGTGACACTAAAAGGAAATAAAAGATAAAGAGAATCTATATTATACTATACCATTTATTTTTTTTTTAAAAAAAAACATTGAGACTGATTCTCTTAGGTAATGAATCTCAAAGTTTTTAAGACCATACAGTTAGATTCTATATACCTTATACCAATCTAAAATACTAAAATTACAAATCATATATGCTCTTTGGCTTATTGATAACTTGTTCTGTGTCACTCTTCTTTTTATTTGACATGTTGCAACAATTGAATTTGCATGGATCTGCCTCAATTAGGAGCTGAACAACTTCATTCATAGTCGGGCGTAGAGCCGGTGTACTATACGTACAACGTATAGCTATACGAAGTACCTTAATCATGTCTTCCTTGAATGAATCTGAGACATTTTTATCTAAGACTTCAAATGCTCCTTCTTTAGTTTCCACTTTTGTTGAAACCCAATAAACAATGTTCTTGTTCTCTCCAAATTCGGATTCCACCGGCTTTTTTCCAGTGATCAGCTCCATTAGAACAACTCCAAAACTATAAACATCACACTTTGTAGTTGCCTTTGAAGAATATGCATATTCTGTTATAAACAAATTGAACCAAAATAGAGTAACATTAAGCCAAAATGAACCCTTTTAACATGTGTTATATGGAAGTGAACTTTGCCTATTTCTTATATAAATGGTCTAATTATCTAAAGGATTATTACATAAATAGCCGGCCAGCTTTAATGTTTACTTTTCTAGTTGGTATACGTGGATTATACATTGATTATACACAGTTATACATATAATATACATAAATTATACATATATTATACATCTACTGGTTATTTTTACTTTAAGAGATTAAGTGGACGGCTATTTGAGTTAATTCTTCTTATCTAAAATTAGAGTGATATGTAACTCTTAAGCTCTAAGAATTTCAACAAAATTACTCCACTTTGGAAACATTCAATGATATTATAGGATTAAAAGTGATACTTAATAAATTGAGAAAATTACCTGGAGCTAAGTAACCATAAGTTCCAGCAATAACTGTGGTACTAGAATCTTTCCCTCCTCTGGCTTGCAAAACTTTGGCTATGCCAAAATCAGCAACTTTGGGCTGGTAATCAATGTCAAGGAGAATGTTGGTAGATTTGATATCTCTGTGAATAATTGGTGGCATAAGATCATGATGAAGATAGGCTAAACCCTGTGCTACACCGAGTGCAATCTGATGTCGAATAGGCCAATCTAATACGAATTTCCCCCCGTGAAGAGCATGCCAAAGATTTCCATTAGGCATGTATTCATAAACCAACAAACTGCAGTCCAAACTTGAGAAATAGCAGTATAACTTCACAATGTTCTTGTGCCTTATATTACCAAGAGTCTCAACTTCTGTCTTAAGTTCTTTGTCCAAAACCAATTGATCATCAGAAACAGAATGCTTATGTTTGTGACTCCACAGCTTCTTTGCAGCAACAACTCCTCCATTACTTAACTCAATCTTATACACAGCTCCTGATCCTCCATATCCAACAATGTTTTTCTCAACCATAGCTTCAAAAATCTCACGTTGATCAAAGCTTAATCGATGGAAACTCTTAACATCGTAGGAAAAAAATGATGATGACATCGAATGATCATCATGTTCAGTCTCCGTTTTTTTGTTACCAAACCATCGTTTGAGAAACAAGATAACTCCAACAATAACAATTCCCACTGATGCACCAATAATCCAAACAATGTTGTACGTCTTCTTATGGTTATAACTATGTGAACATGTTTGAAAATTCATGTCTGATGAATTCAGAGAGGCCGGTACACAAAGTCCCGGATTCCCTGAAAAACTTTCCAAAACACCTCCTTTTATAAACAAGAGAGGTATAGGACCAGAAAGTAAATTGTTTGACAAATTCATTGAATTTGGTAACAATTCACCTAGGCTTTCAGGAATACTCCCCATCAAAAGATTACTTGAAAGATCAAGATAGTTCAAAGATTTAAGTGAAGAAAGTGACTCAGGAATAGAAGAATTGAATTTGTTACCTTGTAAAAGTAACAAATTGAGGCTTTTTAAGTCACCAATACCAGAAGGAATTGGACCATACAAGAGATTATTGCTAAGATCAAGCTTCACAAGATTAATAGCTCCAGATATTTCAAAAGGAAGCAAACCTGAAAACCTGTTACTTTGCATGAAAAGTTCAGATAAATTCTTAGCACTTCCTATTGTTTTAGGAATTGGACCACTAAAATGGTTATAACTCACATCAACAATTGAAACATGAGGAAGAGTAAAAAGTTCTTCTGGTATTCTTCCCTCCAACAGATTGTAATTCACTCGAAAGCGAACAACAGACTCACATTTCGCATACCCTTCTGGCAGTTCACCTGAGAACATGTTTTGGAGTAAAAGAATATAATTCAGTTTACCTCCATTACACAGAAAAGGTGGTAACTTTCCTGAAAATTGATTTTCAGACAAGTCCAATGCTAACAAAGCTGATGAAAGACCAAAGTTTTGTGGGACTTCTCCTGTGAAGAGGTTGTCATAAAGGGACAGGATGTTTAAGGTTGTTGAATTCGCAAGTGCTGCTGGAAATTCTCCTGAAAGAGAATTATGGTAAAGCTGCAAAACTTCTAGCTTAGGAAGGCGGCTTATAGACTCGGGTACTTTGCCTGTTAAATTGTTAACAGACATATCCAAGTCTATAAGCTGAGTTAAATTTCCTAGCTCCTCGGGTATTTGACCTTCGAGTTGGTTGTAATAAAGTTCAAGGAGTTTCAAATTCTTTAGCTGCCCTAACTCTCTTGGTATCTTACCAACTAGGCGATTTCCGCTTAATTCAAGATCAATAAGAGATGTCATGTTTCCTATGGACACTGGAATTGGTCCATGCAATTTGCAGGCTGTTAAGATCATCCACTTGAGTTTTGTAAGCCTGGAAATATCCTGTGGTAACTGCCATGGATTGAAATGGCGATTTTCGTTCATGTTGAGGAGGACTAAGTTGGTGAGGTTGGTAATTGACAAAGGAAAATCACCTGTTAATTGATTATTGGAAAGATCAAGTAATTTCAGGGATTGCAAAGGTGACAAGTCTGGAATTTGACCTGTAAGTGATGTTGCACTCATATTCAACTCTTCCAAAAAAGAACAATTAGTGATGCTTTTAGGAAAACCACCTTGGAAATTGTTGTGACTAAGATGGACAATTTGTAATCTTGGTAAATAAGTGCACACATCATTAGGAAATTGGCCTGATAAAGACCAACCTGAAACATCAATTTTTGTAATATTCCCTTGATTATCACAGCCAACTCCTTTATATTGACAAAGAGGTTTTTCACTATCCCAATTAGACAAAGAATTCCCTGTGAGAGACTTCTTCATTACAACAAAGAACTGAGATTGATCATTTATTGTACCTTGACAAAAGCTGGACAAGGTAAGAAAAAACACAAGAGTGATAACTTTCTGAATAGTCATAGTGAACTTTAACAAAGTGTATTAAATTTGGTATTTTTGCTATAGAGGGAGAGGGAAATGGTTATTTTGGTTGTAGTTGAGAAGATGGAGAAGTAGTGAAGAAATATATAATAAAAGGGATGATTGATGGGATCATTTGGTGGAGTGGTGAGAAGCATTTCATGTATTGAAAGTGAGAGATAGACAAACAAAGTGGCTATCTTTGCACAAAAGAAGCTTTATGTTTATACCCTCACTAGCAACCCCAAGAGAATAACATCTATTTAAAAGGCCTTTATACTCATGAAGAGCTGTCGCAATAAACTTGCTTCTCATTTATTTTTCTGCAAGGATTTATTGATCAAGATTTGTCAATATGATCATATTCAATTCTTAGAAAGTCTTAATCAGTGGCGTAAGCAAAATTTTGTGCAAATAGTGTCAATCTATTATCTCAACTCGGTTTGTATCCAGCTGTATAAAGGTTGTAAGGTTTTCCTTCTAATATCAAATTGATGTTTATTTTGTAATAGTATCGTTTTATTTTATATTCGTAGCCAATGGTCTTAACAATTGATCATTTTTATTTTTTTCTATTGATGGTATATTGGATTAGAGATGGAATTATAGTTAAGTAGTTTAATTTTTGTTTGTATTATATTATCTTGTTCTTTTCTTGTTTTTGGATAAGTGTATCGCGCGTATTATCTTGTCGACCTCCATCTAAGCATGTATCAAAAGTTTATTTATCTACTTATGTTGCATAGGATTGATGTTTATTCAGATCCCATTTTTTCACACGCTTATAGTATTACGTATAGGCATGAAACTTTCCATATTAAATAGTGCTTTGTGCTAGTGCATTTATGAGACAAAAAGCCAGTGGCCAAACACTGAAATTTTGAGAATACACATGTTTAAGGTATTTCTTATTTTAAATAGCTCAGATATACAAGAGTATTCGAATAAAGGCACAGAACTCATGTATTTATCACTTATTCTATGTTGACCTTGGTTCAGACATCTTAAAAATGGGACACGTTGTACAACTGTACGGAAATACATTTTGATTTCTTATGCTCTTAAATTCATTAAAATACCACCAAAGAATGTGGTGAGATGGATGGGATACCTCTACCCTTAATCAATGGCTCGAGGCCAAACCTTGAAATGGACAAACTCCTGGTAGATATCCAAAAACGGACCTAGGATTTGAAAATGGCGGAGGCACTATTGTCAAATTAAAATTTGAGTAGATGTTGGAGTGGAAGACGAACAAAAACATAACGCTAAAAGTCAAGATGTGCTCCCCAAATTAACCAATGCAACTGTTTAATCTTTGAGTTTATGGTGCCAATCAAAATGTATACATGTTATTTAAGATATATATACATAAATACATATATTTTTCCTGAAGTTACCAAGGCCGGTGACACCCCCCGCCCCCCAATCTTAAGGGTATGTCCGTAGACATCGCTTTCTCCTTTAATGAGTCATTACGTGTGCGAACCTAAATTAGAGCCCGTTTGGCTTAATTGATTTAGAGTAGCTGATAAGCATTAGGTGCTGAAAAGCACTTTTAAGTGCTGAAACTGATTTAAAAAATAAACAGTTACGTATTTGGATAAAAGTGCTGAAATTAATAATATGCAGCTGAAGAACTGGGTATACGAAGAGCTTTGTTTAAAAAGAAGTATTTTAGGGATAGAATAGTAAATATTTTGGTCAAACTTAAAGTGCTTATAAGCTGAAATTTGATAAGTTGGGGGAGACCAACTTATGACTTTTGGCTTATTTTTGGCTTATAAGCACTTAATTTATAAGCACTTTTAATTTTACCAAACGCATAAATAAGCTAAAAAGTATTTATAAGGCAGTTTGATCAGTTTATAAGCTTAGCCAAACAATAAAATAGTGAAGGTTATAACAAGTAGCTGATAGATGAATGTGGATAAGCTTGAATCTCTGCAGCGTGTATGAAATTTATTAGGAAATCTTATAATGCATTGGAAAGGACCACCTGCAAGATTTGAGGATAGTGTTGTTGAATTTAACAGAGTAACTGTTATGGTTTTGACGCTAAAGAATCTGTTGCCCCCTTTTCTCCTTTCCCTTTCAGTTACTACTTGTGTTTGACTGTTTTTTTTAACTTTCTCGCTGATAAATAAATATCTATCAACCTAATCTTGATCACCCAAAATATATATGTTTGCACCTCTTTTTGCATACAAGTTTGTCTTAACTGTAAACAAGAGCTAGATATTTATATCTAGAAGAAAAGAAGGATGGGCTCATTCATTAGCCGCAGAGTAAATATCGCGCCCCAACTGACCCTCGAGAATTTCAGTAGTCAACATTTTTTTCTTGTATGCTCCTACCTCAACTCTCCATAGGAACCAGAAAAACAAGGAATATCACTCGGCCACCATTACCAGCAAGATCAGCCGGAATATCTTATTGAATCCGTAAATGGGAATATCTATTGGATATTTGGATAAGGTGCTCAAATAGTGGAAATGCAAATAAAGACGTCCACTCGTTCTGAATGGAATTTTTTTTTTTTTTTTTTGTTGATCTAGCAACTATAGATGAGGTCAAATATACACGGGGGATCGGAGTCTTCTACTGTTTCTTTCAAAAGTTTTAAACTTATCTTGCCTAGAAATATAAGTTAACTCCAACATCAGTTCTACTATTATAAAGAGGCAGTTTAATAATCAAGATGTCACAAATTTGAATTTTAATATTAATTTAGAGCTGGTGGTTTCCAATAACGACTCATATGTCCATTTGAATCTATCGTTTTTCTCTTCTTTTTTTGGTTAATTAACTACGTAATTAGGATAAAAAGGAAATATAACATCACTTTAGAAAATTCTCCCCTAAATTGACCGCAAGAACTCTCAATTCCACTTTAGTATGGCGAGGAATCCAAGCTGTGATTAAGGCCCTAAAAGATGGCCAAAGAATTCTTTTCTTTTTTTTACTTTGGGATTTTTGCACAAATGGCATGTAAGATTTACTGTTTTACTTTTTCTGGCTGGTATACATACATTATATATTAATTATATACTACAATTGTACAAATATTATACAAAATTAATTATACAAACATTATACATTCGCCGGTTATTTTTAGTTTAAGCGATTAGGTGAGCGATTATTTGAGTTAATTCTTCTTTTAGAGTTAGGGCATTACCTTTTACTTTTAGTGTCAAGTTAATATTGCGGCAGGCCGCATATATCTATTCCCTTCGTCTTTCTTTCTTTCTTTTCCTTTCTTTGTGTAAAGGAATGAATAAGATTAGCTTTAGCGAGTCAATTTGTAATGATAGTTTTGGGAATATAATGCCCCCCTGCTATTAAAACATTATTCCATAATGGAGTTAGCAATTCTATCTTAGTGCTTTATTATTGCACTATCTAATTTATTTAATTGTTTTTCTTTTTGTGAATTATCATGAACTCCAACCTAAGAGACCACTGATTAATAAAAGTGGAAGAAAAGGCAAAAGTGCATTGAGGTCATCGTGGTTTCCTATTGGTGAAACACTAAAGGCTTTTAATAGATTTTAACTTCGATTATGACATAAGTAAGAGAGAGAATTTGGACTAAATAAGATTCTGAGGATTATGACGTAATCATTTACAGTAAAAAGTGTGAAAAAATGCAAGAATAGTAGTAATTTTACAAAAATAACCTGCGTTTTCATGGTCAATGTCTTGCATTGCTTTTAAAAAAGCAACAAATGAGACAAAGAAATAAAGCTTACATTGTAATACCTAATAATATTCTGCAACTTTATATCGATAAGTAAAGCGATCAAGAATTCGAACTTATTGACCCCTTGCCAAATAGGATGCCAGATTAGACAAATTCTTATCCGTATTTGTCTTTAAATAAATACTACTACTGTACTTGCTTTCAACAATTAAATTCTTTTCTTAGACAGTTGAAAAAGAAAGAGGAATAAGGGACCAGTTGGGTAGAAGTCATAGTTTGAATTGCTGGATATTGTTTACATATGAATCTCAACGACTCAATTTGGAGGAAAAAAGGCTTGGTAATTTGAGAGAAAAAAGCATAACGGAGCAAAGATTATCACATGAAAGCATTCAATTCTAAAAGAAGGTAACATGAAGTGGTGTAGCATAATTAAGTTACATGTGCTATAGACAGTAGAAAACAAAAACAAAAACAAAAATAAAAAATGGTCCTGATGGTGCATAACAAAAATAAATTGTAATATACTTAAACTAACAATGTCAGCATAATTCATAAATAAATAAATAAACATACACATAGATTAGCTTAAAATTATAACCACGGGACTAAAAGAAGAGAGTTAGGCTATCAAAGAATTTGCAAACATCATATAGTTGCAGATCAACAGGTTCTTAATCGGATCTCATTAGTCTAAACAAAGTAATATGCAACCTAACTTATTGTAGTTATATTTTTAGCAAATTTACCATCCGTAGCTATGTTATATAAAGCTGCTAAGAGAAATTTACCACTTTTGCCCTCTCAAACCCCTAATAAAACCCCAAGCAAAACAAACACAAAATCCACCGAGATGGCAAGATCCAATTTCTCTTATCATCCACAAATTAGAACTGAGTAACCACAAACACAAAAAAGGCAAAAGTCAGAAAATACTAACAAAGCAATCATAAAAAATGGTGTAGATATACTTTTACTTAGACACCATGCAACCAAAGTACCTACAAGCAGAGCCCTTAAAGGAGATAGGATTACCTTTTTCTAGTATATAACTCAACTAATTAGTAGTATATAATATCAATAGCTTCACCAAATCTGAGAACTTTTGAACAGCATGAGATATGACTCATTCAAACAAACACAAAAATACACACTGAAAGAAACCTGCTATTGTATCAGTTCAGCCTTACCTATTTATCAAAATTACAACCTCAAGTCGTCCCTTCATTTCAAAAACTAAGTTAATTGAAATTTAGCATGCTTCAAAATCTCCATTATCTATAAGCTAATGTTTGGCCCTAAACGAACGGTATCATGGCCTAAAGCAAACTCCAAAATCCAGATGCTAGTGAGCTAAAGGCTAAAACTATTATTGATCTTATATTATGTACACACTATAGTCAGTGTAACACTAGAAAAAATATCTAACACATGAAATTCAAATTTAATTGACTAAAAAAAAAAGATACCAAATTCGGCAGTTACCAGAGAGACAATAGAAAGATAGTAAACAGATGAACTAACCTAAAAACAC